TGTAATTGGAGTCATGAGATTAGCTTATCTTAGGCTCTTTATCTCTCTTTTTAAAGAAGATGAGTTTTCCTGTTCTATACAAACAGCCAATCGGGGCTGTGGGTTTAGCTCAGCGGCATAGCGCCGGCCTGGCAAGCGCGAGGTGCTGAGCTGGATTCCCCGTACGGGAAAAAAAAAAAAAAAAAAAAAAAAAAAAAAAAAAAAACATCAAAATATCACCAATGATTATCTTTGGAAGATAGGACTGTGAATTCACCCTTTACTTACAAATTTTAACTACTAAAAAGTAATAAGTGGCTGAGCATGGTGGCACACTCCAGGAAGCTGAGGCAGGAGGATCACAAGTTTGAGTTCAGCCTGGGCAACTCAGCGTCTTAGTTAGAACTTCTCTCAATAAAAATAAATAAATAAATAAATAAATAAAATAGGAAAGGGTTGTGTATGTGGATCAGTGGAAATGACCCAAGTTTAATCCTGTACTTAAAAAAAAAAGTAACAGGTATAAATATACTAAGTATAAATGTTTCAAATGAAAATTACCATTTTCCAGTCCTTCACCTAAATTCCACTTATGATTTACACAAATAACCAGTTTTTAGTCCAGATCTTTTACTCTTGATTTATGCAATCTGCACTATCTATGGTAGATCATTTTTCTAACACACAAAAAGGACATATGATTAGATACTGTTTTCTGAAAGCTTTTTTTCTTGTATTTGGTGATATTTCTATGTTGGTAAGATATTTCGTTAAGATGTAGCATCATGTATCTATTCCCCTTTCTACAGACATTAATTATGCCTTTATTGTTGCAAAAATTCCTGCAAATAAAGGTATATGCAAAATTAAAACCTTTATATCTTTGGGGTTTTTTTTGTTTTGTTTTTGTGGTACTAGCATTGAATCTAGGGCCTTCTACATGCTAGGCAAATGATCTACCACTGAGCTACATCCTCAGGCTAAATACTTTGACTATTCTATAATATCTGAAAATGTTTAAGACTCTTTTTGAACATAAAAATAACCTCACTTACTTTGGATTGGAAATAAATGCTTCAAGAAAGCTCTCTTTGATATCGCCCATTTTACTGCTGCTGCTGCCATAATATATCAAGAAGCTTATCAGGTGATATGAAAAAGATGTGAGAGAAACCGCCTTTAAAATCTGCTTCTAGGCACCAATTTTCATTCCTGCTTAAGAAATAAAAGAAAAATCAGCACTCGCTAAGGTAAATTTAAACACTAGAAATAAAGAAAAATCAGCACTCGCTAAGATAAATTTAAAGACAGAAATTACTATCTAGCGCTACAGTCTCCTGAAGCAAGGAAACTACGCCATCTCCAAAATTTAACAACAGGCCAAAGAGCAACAACATCAAAAGATGAAAAATCCCAGAACTATGTTCATTACTACTCCTAGATGCGAATTACTCAGCAGCCAGTGCGTTTTTCCACTTAAGGAAAACTCAGTAAATATGTAAATGATCTTAGAAACAATCGCTCACACGTGGTACACAAAGCAACTGTCCTCTAATGCTACTGGGTCTGTGTGCAACCTCCCATAGCACACACAAGCTATTACCCCATCGTTTACAGTAACATTCTGCTTGTGACTAAATGAAATATTAAACAAGAAGGCCTATCCTTGACCCATTAAACACTTTCTTAGAAGAACACATAAATTTCACCACCTTATAGGCATCTAAATTTTTCAACTTTCCAAGGTGCTTCCGCTGTTATTTCATTACACTCTCATATTGATCACGTGATTCAGCCTTTATTTTGAATCATAAGAAACCGAAAGTACAGAACTTAAAGGACTTACTTCCAAGGATTTCAGAGCTGGTCACTTACAAACTGGGAAACTTTGCATAAATCGCTAAGTAACCCTCCCTTTGTTCAAAGCTAAAATAAGGAAGAACTAGCAGGCACAACCTCTTTGCTGTTGAGAATAAATGTCTTCAAACTACTACACCTTGTTTTTAACTGGCCTCAATGACTATGCATGGCTTTCCCCGGACCAGAGAGTGATCAAAGGGAATCTGGACACAGGCCTCTTTCTTGACAGGCGCGGGTGTTCCTGCTCATTCCTGACGCTTGTCAGTGCCTCAGCTGGGCTGCCCCGGAGTTCCTGGCAGTGCGTTATTTACAATTCACGGCACCCCCTCGCGCACACGACGCGCTGTCCTTCCGTCTGTGCAGCAGACATCTCCGTCGTGCAGATTACGTGCGCAGGCTTACAGAGGTCAGATGATGGACGTGCTCACTATTGCACTGCTTCACAGTCAGGACGGGTAGGACACAAACCCACGTCTGTGACCACAAGCCCAACTACAAGGCACTCTGGTGGACAGTGGGTTCCCTTTGCCTGACGCCAGCACACCCACGGTCAAACTTTTTATCCCAGGGAGCAAATTTCAGGGGCAAATCCCCACGCACAGAATTCAAATTCCAAGGAAGAAGGTACAGAGAGCCTCTGAAGTTTTAGCAACAGGCTCCCAGGAGCACAGAGGCCTGGCACCCCCCGACGGTCCGAAAGACTTCCATCTGGCGGGGCCTCGAGAGCCACAAGGTCAGGCAGCTCAGCGGGACCCCGTCCTGGGCACGAGGACGCGCGCGACCACAGGCCGGGCCTTCCGCAGCACGGAAGGAACCTGGCGATGCCCGCAGCTCCTCCCTACAGCTAACAACTGGCGGGACACTTCAGCGACTACGCTTAAGCTGCTGGGCTTGGCCGGCTTCTAGGGACTCCTCCACGCCAAAAGAAGTTAGCGGTTACCCTGACAGTTACTCACCGCTAGGCCGCCATCTTGCCCGCATCCGGGTCCTCCGGGGCACGGTCCCGCGCGCCCTTCTGGCCCGCTAGGCACTCTGGGAATCGTAGTCTCCGCGGGAGAGCAGCGGGCGCCTAAAGCCGTGGCGCTGAGCGCCCTCCACCCCTTCCCGCTGTGGTTCCAGTCTCTTGGCTTCATTGCTGCCAGAGGCACCCAGGAAAACAATCACTGCCCCACGCGCACATCCTTTGAAAGCAGCAAGTTCTATTAAAAGAAAACTTAAAAAAATATATAAAAGAAAGCTTTATATTAATATTCAGGGATACGCTGGATTATTCCTTGGTGGATGAGTTGAGGTTTCCCTGGGGCAGGAGGCATGCCAGAAAAGTCCCAAGAGGTGGGAGTCGGGATTCGGACGTTTGAAATGGGGAGCTGGAGAGCCCTCCAAGGCCCTGGGTTGACAGAGGGGAAGACACTTCAGTGACCTTTCGCAGACTACACTGATAGGGCCATTCATGAGTCAGGGAAGACGGCGCAGGTTTGCAGATTTGAGAGAAGCGGAAATGAATACTTCTGTTTGGGCGTTGTTAGGCTTTGGGAATAGAGAACAAACCTGGGTGGGGCACACCAGGTAGGTAGAAAGGGGAGAAGGGTGAGGCCAGGCAGGCCCAGTGTGCAATCGCAGGCGGAAGCCAAGGCTCCGGAATGCTGCGGTTCCGGGCACCCGACAGGGTGGTGCACCGGGGGCGGGGCAGGATGCGCTGTTGCCTGCCCCAGCAAGGCTTTTGGCCAGTGACTCGAGTCCCCATCCTCTGGAATCCTGTGTCCCCTGGGAACCGGCGCAGGGAAAGGAGACAAACGTGTTTGGATGATCTGTCCATCTACCTTTCTAGGAATCTTGTAGAATCAATGAGGGGCTCTGCAGAACCACCCGGTGGTGCAAGCGCTGAAGTGCTCCCCCTGGTTACAATAACACACCCTCCTCTTGCAGGTACTTCCGTCTGGATCACCCACAAAGCAGTGTCCCGATGCCAAGGAACAATAAGGGAGCTTGCAAAACAAATACTTCTGGCTTATGAATTGAGAGAGGGCCTCTATTAAAGGTGTCTGATAACACCATTTTTCAAATGGATCTATTTTGTCTTTGCAAAGCATGAGACTTTGTGGAAAACTCTGTTGACTTGTTGCCAGGAAGGCAAGCTGCAAAGCTGAGGGATGAACAGAAACATCTGCGCTTTCTGTAAGCCCTCATTTATGGGTCATGAGTCTATATTACCATTTCCAGGCAAGGGTTTATTTTCAGCCCCAGTTCACTCCTGTGACAATTTTTTTCCCCCTCATACAGAGTTTCACTACCTAGCCCAGGCTGGCCTGGAACTTTTGGTGATCCTCCTGCCTCAGCCTCCTCAGTGCTGAGATTACAAGTGTGCACCATGCCCAGCTATTGATGTTTTTTGTTTTGTCTAGTTTTGTTTTGTTTTTTGAGACAGGATCTCAGTATGTAAACCTTGAACTCATTTATGTATGTAGCCCAAGCTGAACTCACAGTGATCTTACTGCCTCAGCCTCCTGAGTGCTGGGATTACGGGCATGCACTACCACACCTGGCTTGAGACAAATATTTTTTGAGAGCCTCCATGTAGCTGACCCTGTGCTAGGGATTGCAGGGTCTTGGTCATAGTGGTGACCAAGATAGAGGAGACCTCTGATTCTGAGGAGCTAAGGCGTAATAAATGTCCTATGTTATTGTTGGCCGGGTTAACAGAAATGATGCATCTATTATAGGACTGAGGTAGAAACCTGGACTATGTGGGGTAGAGAATAAGGAGCCCAAGGTGGTCAAATGGTTTTCATAGGAATAAAAGAGACTTGGGCAGGGGAAATAGTTCAGTGGCATAAATACCTGCCCGGCAAGCGCAAGGTCCTGAGTTCAATTCTCAGTACCAAAAAAAAAAAAAAAAAGGAGTAAGAGAGCCTCATAGGACCCACATTCTTCCAACTCAGCATTCTTGCTTGCTATCCCTGAGTTTGATTTCCAGTACCAAAAATAAATAAATAAGTAAATAAATACAGTTAATTGTGACAGGTATTTTGTCACAATAGCAGAAAGCTAACACAGTAGATTAAAATGTTTCCCTTCTATCTCTCTTCTCCAGGTGCCCAGCACCTCTGCTTTGAAGGAATGGATTCAGTTAATTTCTTAGGGATCTTTATTTTATCCATAGTTTATGGATCTAGTAATTGAATTTGTTTTTCAGCACTGAGAAGTGAACCCAGGGCCTGGTGCATGCTAGGCAAGTGCTGTAACAGTGAGCGACATGTCTGGTCCTTCCAATTTTATTTTGGAACAGGCTCTCCCAGTACCCTGGCTGGGCTCAAATCCCGTGCCTCAGCCCCCTGAGAAGACGTGTGCCATTGTACTCAGCTAGGGGTCTTTTTAAAAGAATGAAATGTTATTATGTATATTTAAAGCACACAGTGGCTGGGGATTTAGCTCAGCGGCAAAGCGCCTGCCTGGCAAGCGCAAGGTCGTGAGTTCGGTTCCTGGTACTGGAGAAAAACCAACACCAAAAAAATAAATAAATAAATAAAGCACACAACATGATGTTTTATATAGAGTATAAAAGTTATTATAATGAAGCAAACTAACATATCTAGCACCTCTTATAGTTGTCCATTTTGTTTTTGTAGCAAGCATTTAAAACCTATTTATTTATTTGTCTTTTTGAGACAGGGTCTCGCTATGCAGTGCAGGGTGACCATGAGCTCACTTTGTAGCCCAGGCTGGTCTAGAACTCGCAATGATCCTCCTGCCTCAGCCTCCTGAGTGCTGGGATTATAGGCGTGCACCATCATGCCTGGCTAAAACCTATTCATTTAGCATAAATTCCATGCACAGTATGTTTTACTACCTATAGTGCTCATGTTGTACATTAGATTTCTAGATCTCTATCTCTCCTATATATCTGCTGCTTGACATCCTCTGATCTGTACTCCCAACCATCGTCTTCATCTCTGTCTCTGTATTGTATGTAGTCACAGGTTTCTAAACTAGCCTTTTCAACTGAGAGTAAACCCTGTCTCAGTCCAGTGACAACCTGTCCTTCCTGAATATATCCTGTTCTACAGGACTTAGATGAATCAGAGATTTAGGTTTTCCAGATGATTAAAGTGTGAGCTGTTCTTCAGGGAAAACAATTGGGGAACATATGAAAAAATTATATATACATTTAGTTTTTCAAGACAGGGTCTCACTATGTAGTTCAGGCTGGCCTTGAACTCACTATGTTGCCTAGTCTGGCTTTGAACTTGTGTGATACTCCTGCCTCAGCCTCCTAAGTGCTGGGATTACAGGCATACATCACCATGTCCAGCTTGAAAAATATATTTTATTATATTATGAAAAACACATTTTAAAATGTTACCACTCGAAGAGAGTGTTACATCATCAAACTGATCTCTGCTAGACAAAGTTATAATGTCAAAGTTTTTTTGGTACTGGGAATCAAACTCACAACTTCATCCTTGCCAGGCAGGCACTGTGCCACTGAGCCAAATCCCCAGCCCCATAATATCAAGCTCTAAAACAAGAGGAAAGCATGAGCCATCACAATCCCAGATTTGAAGTTATAATTACAAAGCTATAATGATACAAACCAGCATGGTACTGACACAAAAACAGATATGTGGATTAACGGGACAGAATAGAGGACTTAGAAACAAACCCAGGTACATTCAACTATTTGATCTTTGACAAAGAAACCCAAAGTATGCATTGGAAAAAAGATAGCCTCTTTAACAACAAATTGTGCTGGGAAAATCAGCTATCTGCATGGAGAAGATTGAATCTAGAACCATATCTTTCACCATGTACTAAGTTTACATCAAAAAGGATCAAAGATCTAAATGTTAAAACAGAAACAATCTGCCTGAAGATAAAACAGGTCTTGATCTCTTAAACAGCTCTTGAAGACACAAATGTAGGCAAGAACTTTCTGAACAGAACCACAGTGGCACAAGAAATAGTACCAAGAATCAGCAAATGGGATCGTATAAATTATAATGCTTCTGTACAGCAAAGGAAACAACCAATAGAGTGAAGAGAAAACCTACAGAATGAGAAAAAAAATTTCCACTAATACTCAGACAGAGGACTGATATTTATGGGTTTTTTTTGTTTGTTTGTTTTTTCCGGTACCGGGAATCGAACTCACGACCTTGCTCTTGCCAGGGAGGCACTGTGCCACTGAGCTAAATCCCCAGCCCAGAGGACTGATATTTAGAATATATAAAGAACTCAAAACAATTAGACCACACAAAATAAATACCCAATCAAGACTGGGGGTGGTAGCACACACCTGTAATCCCAGCACTGGAGAGGTAAAGGCAGGGGGATTGCCCTGAGTTCAAGTCTAGTTTGCCCTTCTGAGAATTATAAATGGCCAATAAATACATGAAAAAAATGTTCAACATTGCTGGCTACTAGAGAATGCAAATTAAAACAACACTGAAATTCCATCTTACCCCAGAAACAATGGGCATCATCAAGAAATCAAATAATAACAAATGCTGGCACGGCTGTGGTGGTGGTGGTGGGGAGGCATTCTTTGACGTTGTTGGTGGGAATGTAAACTAGCACAACCACCATGGAAATCAGTATGAAGTTTCCTCAAAAAACTAAAGCTAGAAATTCCATTTGACTCAGCTATTCCCTTTCTCAGTATCGTCCTGAAAGAGTTAGACATCAGTGATCCATGCATACCCATATCTATAGCAGCACAACTCATAATAATAGCTAACTCTTGGAAGCAGCTTAAGTGTTCATCAGCAGATGAAAGGATAATGCAAATGTGGTATTTACATACAATGAGTCTGCCATAAAGAAGGATAAACTTGAGACATTTGTAGAGAAATGGAGGCACCTTGAGACCATACTGTTAAGTGAAACAAACCAGACACAGCTTACATATTATGTGGTTCCTCTTCTATCAGAGAACCAAAATATAATAAGGAGCAAAAGAAAAGACAGATAATAAGGAGATTGTTATGGTTTACGTCTAGATGTCCCCCACCCCCGCCACCAAAGCCTCATGTGGTCATAGGGTTTTTTTGGAGGTGGCTGAATCTAGAGTGTGTGATTGATTTGTAGTGCAGTGCTGGGATTAAGGGTGAGTGACTCTGGATCAGTACACTGATTGGGTTGGCAACCCCTAATCTTGGTGTACTGGGTACAATAAGAGACACGGAAAGAGGCTTATCTCACTCTCACATGTTGCTTTTGCTGTCTTCCACTGCTGTGAACTGTTGCCCCTCAGCCATGCCACCCTATTTTAGAGCCAGCCTGTTACAGACAGAAACCGCTATAAACTGTGAACTAAATAAATCTTTCCCCCTTTGAGTGTTGAGTATTTTGTCTCAGCAACTGGAAAAGTAACACAGGGAAAAGGTTGAAGAGATGGAAGGAGAGGAGACAAAGGTTTGCAAAAAGAATTGAGATGTGTTATGTACATGTACCAACTCCCCCAAGGAATGTCATCATTATGCAATGCAAGCATGTACTAATAAAAAATAGAAACAAAAATTTTAAAAGATTTGGTTTCCAAAAATAAAAAAATAAAAGATTTGGTTTTCTAAAGAAAACTATACTTGGCTTTATCAAATCACAAAAGTAGTAGCACTTGGTAAGTGCTATGTACTATTATTTATTTATTTATTTAGAGACAGGGACTTGTTATTAGTTTAGGTTGGCCTTGAACTCATGGTAATCCTTCTGCTTCAGCCTCCTGAGTGCTGGGATTACAGGTGTGTGCCACCATAACCAGCAGGTAAGTATATTTTATAGGTGAAGAGAATGAAAAAGAGTTAAGCAAGTGTATATTCCCAAAGTCAGGCCAAGGCTTCAGAGCCTCACTCTTGCTCTGAGTGATAGTCATTAACTGTTGTGATAAACAATAGTCCACAGAGACCAACAGCAACTCCTGCTTATACTTTTCCTTTCTTTCTTTCTTTCTTTTTTTTTTTTTTTGTCTTTTTGAGGCAGGGTCTCCCTATGCAGTTCAGGCTGGCCTTGAGCTCACTTTGTAGCTCAGGCTGGTCTCAAACTCGAGACGATCCTCCTGCCTCAGCCTCCTGAGTGCTGGGATTACACAGGTGTGCCACCACACCTGGCTTCATTTCTGTTCGATCAAAATCTTTTGTCCTCAAATATTAGGAGACATCAAAATTACCTATGAGGTTTAAATGTAGACTCTCAGTTCTCAGCACAGGGCTAGAGAATTTCGTCTTTTTGAGATAGGGTCTCCCTATGCAGTTCAGGCTGGCCTTGAGCTCACTTTGTAGCCCAGGCTGGTCTCAAACTCACAACGATCCTCCGGCCTCAGCCTCCCAAGTGCTGAGATTACAGGTGTGCACCTGTAACACCTGGCGACCATCCTGGGAGTTTTGAAATCTCACCACTCCCTTTGAAGAGGTGGATCCCTTGTCCCCCACCCTGGAAACTGGGTGGGCTTTTGTGGCTGGTTGATCAATAATAGATTACTGCTAATAGATTACTGCAGTGCTAATGTGGCTGCCAAATTAGGTTAAAATTTATTCAGCTTCTATTTTTGCTGGCTGGAGATCTCACTTTGGAAGCTTGCCACCAGGCAGTGGAGAAGGCCACAAGGCCCACGGGGAGGGGAGAGGGCAGCCAGCCCAGACTCGCACATCTGTAAGGAGGCGTCTTGCAGCTGGGTCTTCCTCCCCTTTCAAGCTGCCCAGCCTGATGTGCATGATGCTGCAATGTGTGTTCCTTGCCAAGCCCTGTCCAAATTGCACACTCTTAACCCTATAGCTGCTTTCTTCCTACCAGGGCAACCTCACATGTTTCCTTTTCAAGATCTTCTCCAAGTATCTATGTCCGGTGTCACTGACCTTTCAGTCCCTGAACAATCCCTTTCAGACTTCTGGTTATATGAATTCTCATTACTCCCTCTCAGCCTTACTGTCTTATTCAAAAGGTACTGGGAGTAATACAGCCTACCTCTTCTACTTTACAATCAGAGATGATCCATGTAATCTGTCAGCACCATTGCCACAAAGGACGTTGCTCATCGTCCTTACTGGGTTTCTTGCATTCAGGTTCCCAGTTTCTTTAGTCCCTCTTCTTTTTTTCCTTTCTCGTACCACAGTGCCACTTCAGAGACCATTTCCTGTGCCTGGTATGTTCTTCCCTACCTAGATTTTTTTAGGACTCCGTTTTTTCTTTTTCTTTTTCTTTTTTTTTTTTTAAGGTGCTTTAAACAACTTATTTAACTGAGATGGACTTCCATTTATTTAACTGCAGTGACTTCCCTTTATTTTGATACATCTTTTCCCCATGGTGATTTACAAGATCTTCAAGCCAATACAAATATTTCATAAATATGTGGTCATCTGGGTAGACACCTACACCATACCTTAGCAATATCTTTCTGCAAGAAAAATACTGAAGAGCAAAGACCTGACACAGTTAACTAGCTGGGTTGAAAACTTGCTCCAAGTATTTGTCTCTGAGGTAAAGGCACCATACACCTGTTCAGTTAAGAAAACCATCCCTACGACACAGGATGATTTTTCATTTTTAAGTAGGACCGAGAACACTTAGCTGCTAATTAGATGCTGAACGGCAGAGCTCCATCCTATGCCATGAATTCACAGGAAATAGGTTCCAACAACTCAGGCTCCTTCCCATTGGTTCTCACAAAGTGCACTTCTCTGGGCGGGGCGGGCTGGCGCTTCAGTTGAACCCAGGTTCCTATCTCTTTGGCTTCCTTCTTTTCCTGGTCATCTTCCACAACACGTTTCAGGAAGCTATCTCGACTCAAGTGTTTCATATGCTCAATATGCACATTAATCCTCTTAGCAAGTATCTTGCCCTTAACTTGTTTACAACAATGCCAACAGCACGCTGGGTAAACTGTAGGCTCTTCCTGTTTTGCCATGGTAATATCTGTGTTTTTGCACAGTACCCGTTCCCTTGATGTATACAATATCAACCCTTTTTGTAGATCCGCAAATATGTGGCCAAGGGAACAGCCCCATGTTTTCTAAAAGGCCTGGAGAACATACACCGGGTTCCCCTTCTCTTTCCCTTTGTGTTCCTCATTTTGGCAAATTACTGGAAGATGGCGGTTCTGGCCAAAAGGAAGCTAGGGCTGTACCCTTTAAAAAGACACCTTCCCTAAGTTCTAAAGCAGTTAATGCCTCTCTGTGCTCAAATAGCCACTTAGAGGAATCTGTTACCGCCCTTAACACACTGGATTGTAATTACTTGTCCAGCTCCTACTGCACACTGGACCCTGGAGGGGATGGCCAGCCGCTTCTTCCTTTTGGGTCTAACAGCACCACCGGCACCGCTCCCTCCATTCACGATCTACGTCTCAGACTGGGATAGGGAACACCGTGGGTAAGTAGTTAAGGCCCACGTCTCGGCAGATTTGCCTAGAAACAAAACTGCTCCACCTTTCTCTATTACAGCCTAGCAAAAAAGTTAACTCTCTAAGGTCTGTTTCAAAACGGAGGTAACTCCTCCTTAAGACTGCCGCGGAGACAACTAAACTGCCTTAAAAGGAAAATGCCTAGCAAGGGATCAATCATCAGGGCAACATGCGTTCACAACAATCCTATTTCCGCTCCCACCCCCGCCCACTGATCCTTTAGGGCTCCACATTCTAGAGGTAACCCCTCTTTTCAGGGGTACTGCGCATTCTTTCACGCTCGTTCAGCTAGCAATTCTTCGTCTCAACTGCGGAGTGCAGGCATTCAGAAACAATTCCTCTTTCAGCTCCTAAATCGCTTTATTCCCTACCCGCTGGCCTAGGGATGTACCAGCGAGGCCTGACTGATGCAAATACAAGGTCTGCTCGACTGGCGAGACCCACCCCGCCCAGCGCGTTTCGGGCGGCTGCAGCGCACGTCCGCAGTGGCGGCCGCAGCGCAGGGCAGAAGCGGTGAATGAGCGCAGGAACGCATGAATGGTTACGTCAGGGGCGGGGCCTCTGTGACCCGCCCACCAGCGAGGGCGCGCCCTGTGTGCGTGAGGCGCCTGCGGCGCGGGCCGCCCAGTTCCCCCGCCTCTGCGCCGGCTCGGCCGCGACGCGGAGCTCCTCCCGCCTCCCCTAAATCCCCGCCCCGCCTGCGCGTCACTTCCGCCACCCCCGGCTGGGGTTTGGGGCGGGAGCGCGGGGAGGGGGCCAGGTTGGAGGGAAGCCCGCCCGCGCCGGCGCAGGGACTACATTTCCCGAGGGGCCTCGGCGGCGGCGGCGGGCGCGGCGACGTCCCCCGGAAGTGGAGCCCGGGACTTCCACTCGTGCGTGAGGCGAGCGGAGCCGGAGTCGCGACCAGAGGCCGAAGTCGGGATCTGACAAGATGGCCGGGCTGCCCCGCAGGATCATCAAGGTAACCGCCCCGGCCGGCCTCCGGCTCCTCACTCTGCACCCGTGCGTCGGCGGGGCGGGCCGTGCGGCCCCGGCTTCCTCCGGCCGGCGCTGAGCGGCCCGAGGCGGCGCGGAGAGGGTCTGGCTGCCGCGGCGAGGGACGTCGAGCGCTGCGGAGGGGGCGCTGGGGAGACTTCCGGCCGCGGTGGGGCGGCCTGGCGGCGGGA